TCTGCTGCATAACTGTTTCTATACAATTAGAGACTATACTGATTATCAGTTCTGTCAATTCTTGATTTTTTAAATTCATTTTTTATTATGTTTTTTGTGCAGTTTTTACTGTTTTTTTTTCTAACTGAATAAATCTAAATCTAAGTAGGGCAGCAGGGCCATCTGAGCGTCCTGGCAATGCCTCTGTGGGTCTGTGTGAACAAACCCGTCCCCACGTCCGGACCTCACCGGTCGATAGGAAAAGGCGGGGTGGCGGTGGGGCTGGGGAAATAAGGTGATAATGTTGCTGGCGGAGAAAAAGGTGTTTTTTGTTTGGAACGGCACATTAGCCTACATTTATATTTTCCGCTCTCCTCGATATTTTTATGCGTTGTTTTGAATTGAAGTGATTGAATACGAATAATACCAAAATGAGGACTGGATATTTATATTTATATTTATATTTATATTTATATTTATATTTATATTTATATTTATATTTATATTTATATTTCCAAAACAAATCATGGTATTCGGTGGAAATTGATGGCACTTCGTAGAATAAAATATGTAAAAGAATCCAATTATCTGTGATTCACACTGATGAATGATGGTTGTCTACAAAGATAAACATAAGAGATGTAAGCAGATTATTAGAGCATAACACGGCATGGGACTGGTATAAAAAACACAAAAGTTATCTTATATAAAAGAATATTCGAAAACCTATTTACTAATAGAGTTGATTTATGGACTTTGAGTACAAGAGACAGAATCAGAATTCAAGCTACGGAATTTGAGAAGTTGCGGTAAGGTTAGCAATAAAGAATGATTTTGAAAAATTAGACTTTTTCACACAATAAAAAATGAATATTAGAAATGATAAGACGAAAAAGATTACTATGGTATGGGCATTTAGAAGGTGAGTCGGTGAGGGACTGTCAAAGAAGTCGAGGGAGTACGTACCCGAAAAAAGACAGTGGAGAGGAAGGATTCTCAATTCTGTTAAAAGAAGTAATTTATTATATATAGGATCATGATTTACGCACTTTTCCGTTACCAGGTCCCGACAATAAGAGATTTTTCTGTCCAAAATTCGCCGTTTTCCAGCGCACGATTACAATACTTCTTCTAATATTCATAAGGATGAGAATGTAATACTAGAGGAAAATGAAAACCTGTGATGCTATACTGTGATACTAGAAAAAAATGAAACATCTCTATCCCATGGTTTTGTCATTCTTTCCACATATTGTGACCAGATGATGTTGAAACGTCACTTCCCAGAAGTACATACATCGTATTGTGCTGTTCTTATGTGCAGATTTTAAAGGAATGAGGAATGTAGAATTTGGTGGAGTTGTATGTTATTGGGGTTCTATTGAAATTATTTGTGAAGTTGAGCATTTGTAATGAATCAGAGAGCATTGACGATCGTTCTTAGGAAGTGGTGTGTCTGTTTATTTTGTAAGGTTAAAAACGTTTTCAAAATCTTGTGATGCTTGGGAAAGAAGTAATCTCTGAGCGCGTTTTTTGAGCTCCCAATTCTCTAGCCCATTCGTTTTCTGCGCTAAGGTGTTTTATGAATAATGGTTGCAACAAGAATTTTTAGACAAAATTTGATACAACAATTTCAGAACATTTGAGGAGGCATCCATTTTCTAATGCCTAACATAAAGTAGGTTTGAATACATGGCCATATTGGAGTCGGTAAAGAGAATCTCTCAATCAACAATTAACCGATAAACAACATACATCAATTAAATACCTAGGCCTTCACGTGAACTCAAAGGTAAAAAGGAGCCAACACATAACTATTAAAATAACCCAAGCCATAAATAAATTACACCAATTAAATACTTTAATCAATCGCTCTGCCTTCCTCTCATACAAAACCGCAATCATAATTTACTAATGTCCATACTAATGTACGCGAAAACATTTTGGATCAATGGTGCAAAGACAGATATCAACGAATTTCAAATTATCAAACATTACTTCCTAATAACAATCGTCAACTCTCCCAGGTTCAGCACAAATGCTCAACTTCACAAAGAATTTCAGTTAGACTCCAATGGAACACAAAATAACATACCTCTGCATCGAATTCTATCATACTTTATCTCATCCCCTTTAAAATTGCAAACATCTACTCACAGAATTAGAATTAAAAATATACTTCCATTCCTCATTTTTCTCATGACATTCACTGATATAAGTTGTTTATAAAAATTTCTCAATACAATTCCTCATCCTGTAAAGATTTAAGATTTTCTAAGGAGTGTAAATTAGTCTAAGCTCATTCTACATATGTAACACTGATCTACCCAATCAGAGCAAAAAAGAAAATATTCTTGCTACGGATCTCTGAAATACTGATCTATGTGAACCCAATCAAAGTAAAAAATAAATTAAATCGAGAAGGACAAATGAGTTTCAGTCACCGATAGATTGAGAGCGTTGCCGCTTTTCACGTCAATGGTGACGATGTTAATCAAATGCGTTAACTCTATGAAGCCCAGATCCCTTTTAAATAAATCCCCCAATAAAATTTGAGAGAGGCCGAGTTCTACCAAAATTGGACAATGAAACATTAAATTGAATTGAATTGAATTAATGTCTTATTTTACGTGGCGAAACTCAGGTCATCAGGCCCGCTCTTCCGTCTGACCACCCAAATTTCGCTACGCTCCTTTCACCAACTAGCAGAGAAAGGAGGTATTTCTTGGGCGAGAAACAGGCATATCAGAGGCGTCATTTAGGCTTGAGGATCTTTTACATGCAAGTAAATCTACTAACATGGGACAGCCGGCTTTACTTCCCCTCCGAAGGAAGGCGTACGAAGGATTTAAAAATCCACGGCTTCGATCGGATTTGAATCCGCACATTGGGAAAACGGACAAACTTTGATAAATATTTTATGCATCAAGTATTTTAGATTCATGGTTGCGTAGGCGGCCGCAGTTTGTGTTATCTATGCTATCCGGGACGAGCCGCGTCACTGACATGGTGGCTACAGTGCCTACTGCTGTACGCAGTACGCTCTGAAGAAAGCCACAATACACTGGCCGACACGTTAGCCACCATGTCAGTGACGCGGCTCGTCCCGGATAGCCTAGATAACACATTTTAGATTGATTCACAGAATGACCTACAGCTATTTCAAACAGAGGGTTAGGATAAGGAAAAATGCTCAACAAGGTTGTAAAAATGTTGGAAAGAAAGATCCCAGCTTTTGAAACTGAAATTCAAATTCTAAGAAATAAGACAGTATTGGGGACATACTGCTTGGCCCCCACCCCCGATATTTTCTTCAAGTTGGCACCTCTGATGCTAGTGCAAGTACCGGCAACCACCGTAATTGGTGTCTTTGCAGACGTGCGGAACGCGGAGGTGGTGAGTGGCAGCAGTGGAAACTGAAGCGTTGCCATGGAGATAGTTGGAACGAAGTAATTACATACGCCGGAAGCCATCGCTGCGAGAGAGGATCAAAAGGCTGTGGCCGCCGGTGTTGGAGCTGTAGTGCAATTGATGCTTCTGTGAGGGCGACTTTGTAATGTCTGCGGTCGACGTGAAACTGAGTTGGGGCAGTGAGGGTTTGACTCGGAGAACGTTAGTTAGGTAGCAATGTTTGGTGCTGAAGAAGATTTAGTATAAAAGTAGTAAAAGGAGAAAATGAGGGAGTACCGGATCGACTCTTTTCAGCTGCAGGCAATTTGTCTAACATGTTAAACTCATGCAGGTCTCGTAGCATGCCTTTTTTATAATTGCCCGTTCTACATTAAATTTTTTAGTTAGAATATAATTTAATGCAATTTTTAATCATGATCAAGTGTCAAAAGCAAAATTAAATAGTCGTGCGAGTTTAACAATGAAAATGAAAAAGGAGTGAGTAGGAAATGAAAGAGAAGTAACTATTCACGCAAACTAATGAGTTAATTACATAATTATTTATACTCTGTTAATACATGGAATAGGAATTATATTTCTTAAAATTTTAACAAAACAGATTTACGATATTTATTTGTATTCTACAACTTTCATTTCAAAGCACAGATTCACTACAAGTCGTTGTTCCCAAAATATCTCACGAATTCGATGTGACTGATTTGCCCTTTAGTGAATTATGTATCACGCTTTAGTATTTATACGAATGAATGTATTGTAGTATCGATTACGATTTATTCCTCCCATAGCTCTACTTTTCAGGTATGAATCGTAATTTTACGTAAAAATAAAGAAAATGTAGCGAAAGGAATTCTGGGAAATAAGAAACGAAGTGAAAGTTTTTCATTAATACCTAGATACATAATTGATGAATAACTTTTTATCTCAAACAAACTTCTTGCGCTTTGCGTTCCACAACGGAGAAGTTTTACCGAGGTTCCAACAGCCAGGATAGATTTCATGTTTTTCCCTCATATTTTTGTCACTATGCAGCAATTCATCATTCTCCAACACGGCCTCATTGCAGCTGTCACCAGTTTTTAACCATTCAGTGTAACTCTACGAGCGCTTCCTCTGCCAACCAAAATGCACTCTGGCGAATTAAACTTTTTTCTTTCAGGTACGTTACAATGCCTCTTTTTCCTCCTGCAAAGCCGACGCAACAGTTCTTTGCTTACTCGGAGCGCAGGCATTGATTCTGTCGTTCCGGCATTGCGCCACTCGGCGGAAGGCAAGTGGCGAGGGATGCCAGCGAGCACCTTACAACGCCTCGCACGTAGAATGAGGTCTGAGCGTGTAGTGCAATTAAAACGCAACACAAACATCCCACGCCCACTCATTCTTGGCCCTTAGCAATTAGTAGCTGGCAATTTTGCTAATTGGATTGTTCCTTTCAAATAACATGCGCGATGAAGGTTTCATAATACGCAGGCTCAGGACGTTGAGGATTCAATTGGAACTAAAATAGACGTTAGTGTTTCATTTGAAAAATACTTTTTTAAAAAACATTCTCTAGGGAACAAGCGTAGATCGTGCGTGCTTAGTGAATCTACAAAACATTCTTAGTAATAATTACGACTAGTGAACGAAATACAATTCACGGCGATGACAAATTTATTATTTCAAATTCCACTGCAAAATCATTTTATTAACTTACTCTAAATCTTTGAAACCTGTTTTTCTAGGCCACCATGTTCATATACTTGTATTTGTATTTGATCTCGTCAAAATAAACACATTGTTTATCAAAAATTATTGCCATGGTACCATATTTTTACGCAGTACAAATCTTAAGCACGCAAAGATACGAAAATTACCGTATTCGCTACTATTTGCAAATATTTGACAAAATGATATAAGACAATATTTAAAGAACATTTCAATTAACACAATGTTTTACTTTTCGTTTCTTTACAACAGATGATATACACTATGTTTAATTTAAAATACCCACGTTTTTCAGTATTTTTTTTATTTTTGTCCCTAAATATCATCGTCCAAATCAGGCTTTGAGAATATCGTCGATAATTGAACATTTTCCCAATATGTAAAATGTAAAACATTGCCAACAAAAATGTCAATATTGTAAACTTCAGGCCTGTTTGTAAACTTTAGGGATTGCAATGGAAATTCGAATATGACATATTTCCATATAAGTGCATATCAATATTTTTTTAAGAAATTTAAAGAAAAATTTGAAACTATTTTTTTAAATTGAAAATGTCATGTAAAATACCCTCATGTAAAATACCTTTATGTACAATACTCCCAAAAATTCAAAGAAATATTTTCAAAATCGCAATGATTTGAGTCGGGCCAGGTCTACCGAGTAATATTCTCTTTGGTAAAAATACTGCAAATAGTTAAACGCTTTAAAGTTATTCACAGTCTGACAGACATAAAGGCGCACGATACTTTTCAGAAAAGTCGTTTTTTCGGTACATAACCACAAAACGCGCATTATGACTACAATACATATTGAAGGAAATAATTTGCTGCATGTAGGTGCGAAAAATTCCTCATTTACGGTATCAGGGAGTCACAAAACGAGTTTTTCTATCAAAAACGTCACTTTTCGCCGCAACAGAACTTAGCTTTCTCTGAGCTTGCTAAATAAGGTGTCGCCGACGCGAAAACTGTTTTAAGAGTGTTTTCATGTGTTGAATATTTCTAAATGTTATACATAGCTCTTTTCAGATAATTTATTACAGTATCTGGCTTTGGACTTACAAATGAATAGTAGTTGCTGGCAACGTTCTATTAAAAAATCTGCAGCACCCAATTACCTTTTCATATTACCTCCATACACGATATGAACCGGTAATATTGCAATTTTAAAATTGAAATCACGGTAAAAAATATATTTGCAAGGTTGATGGATAATACGAATAGTTAGAATTTAGAACAGCTACATTTTATACGCTTTTTTGTTAATATGCACAAAATTGCACATAAAAGGTCATCTATAAGCTGTTCTTCAGCGTTAATCTCTTTGTAAGATAGTTTTAAAATTGTTAATTTTTAAATAATATTGTAACTATGGTTAAGGTTTCTTTTAGTTTGTTTTGTGTTTTTATAAGCTTTGTATAAAGCTTACAGCGGTCATCCGGCTTGGAAAAAAATTATTCGGCGGCTAAGTATTCCTACATACATCAGTAGGGGGATCACAGTCACAAAATAAATTTAAGACCACAAAGAACAGATGTTGAGAAATTTTCTTTCACAAATCGAACAATAACGGAATGGAATAGATTGCCTGCAAAAACCTTTGAAGCCTTTTCTCGAAGCATTCAACAGTTTAGAAAGTTAATTTAGGGCATTACTAAGTAAATGAGGGACTGAACTAAGAATAGTAGGTTATAGAGCGAATCATAAGTGATATATTGTGCAGTGAGGTGTCGTGCAGTGTAGATCAGAGAAGTAATGAAGGAAGTAGGATAAGGAAGGAAGGATCGTAGTGAAGTGAAGTGCAGTGCAGTGCCAGTGCAATGAGGTCTTAATTGAACAAACATTTAGTGCGGAGTTTGATTATACAATTTTCTTTTTCTTGACATAATTTAATGTTACATGTATCAGTCAGTTTTTATATTATTATTATTATTATTATTATTATTATTATTATTATTTTACTGTATAAATTGTATGTTACATATGTATATACATATGTATCATACTTATGTAATTAGCTACCACCGGGTTATACCCAATGGTAGTTTGAATAAATTTATCTTATTTAAACTCTTATTTAAAGGCTATATTGTATAACATATTTGTGTTGTTAAGAGAGGACTAAATTGCTTTGCAATCCTTATGACTCTTGAGTTATCGACGGAGGGTGCTTGGACTCATTTTTACCGCGCAGTACGATGCTCTCCAAACATACTGAGTGGATCCGGACGCCCGTCTCCCTTCCTCCACTTCGGTGCGTGAGAAGGAGTGCCATGGGCTGCTCGCGCCCGCGCCAGGACAAGGCGCCCCTTGGCCGCGGGCGGCGTCATCGGCCAGCTGACCGGGCATCTGATGGGCATACGACCGGCCGGCGACAACGAACGCGAGCGGGCGCTTGCACACGCTCTACGCGCGCGGCAACATGGCCCATTGCACGCGCGGCCGCCCTCGCCCGCTCCACCCCCCGCCCCCGTCCGCCCGCTGACTCGCACCCGCCCAGCCCCCGCCCGCCGCCCCGCCCCGCCCCCCGCCCAGCCCCCGTCCCCGCCCCGCCCGCCCCCCCCCGCCCCGCCTCCCGCCCCACTCCCTGCCCACCCCTCCCCCGCCTACCGCCCGCCCGCCCGACCTCCAACCGGCCGCCCCCCTACCGCCCATGCCCCAACCCCCGCCCCACCGCGCATCCCAGCGCCGCTCAATCCGCTCATCTGAACCCCAGTCCCTGAATCCGCCCCTGGCGCCCCCACCACTCTCCCATGCCACGACCGCGCAAGCACTCCCCCGCGATCAATGGCCCCTGCAACGTCCCGCCCTTCGCCAACTGTCCCCGGAGATCATTGGTCCCTGCGCGGCACTCGGTTTGCCGCCACCTCCCGCCACGCCCCGCCCACGCGCCACCCCTCGTGCCACAAGCTCCACGGCCCCAGAGCCCGCCCACCTCCCGCCCGCCTCCCGGCCCAGCCCACGCTCCCGCCCCGCTACCGCCCCGCTCCGCCCCGCCCTCCGGCGCTGCCCGCCTCCACGCCCACTCCTGTCCCCCAGGCACACGACCCACCCTGCCCCCGCCCAACCCCCGCCCCCGCCCAACCGCCCTGCCCCCGCCCGCCCCCCGCCGTCCGCCCCGCCCCCACAACTGCGCCCAGCGCCTCACCCCCAGTCTTGGACCGCCTCCAAACCCACCCTCGCCCACGCCCTCCCGCCATCCCGCCCCGCCCCCACGCCCATGGGCCCCCCGCCACCGACCACACGGCCTGTGCCCCCTCCCCACCCCCTCCCTCGCTACCGCGCCCCGGCCTCCGCCGCCTGCGCCCCTGCCGCCGCCACCACCCCGCAATCAATTGTCCCCGCACGATAGCCCATCGCACAGCCCCCGATCATTGGTCCCTGCGCGCACTCGGTTGCCGCCGCCCCTGCCCCGTCCCTCCCCTACCCGCGTCGCCGTTGCCACATGTCGGCTCCAGCGCATCCAAGCATAATTTAAGAGAGTGACAACCGTAGGCAACTGCACCCTTGCAGTCGAGTGTCCGCTCACTCGGTCGACGAAAACTGAGGGTTCGTCCAATGTTATTTGAATGCCCAATATCACGCATTGCCTACTTCACAAAAAAAGCGTGAGTAGCAATTACTCGCAACAAAAGTTGAACTTTCGATAGTTGTGAAAAAAAAATATATAAATGATTTACTGCGGCTGAAGAAGGAAAATGTGGGATAATTGTGTTGGAATTTTCCGTTCCCCAAAGACATGCGACGTGCTTACTGCGGTGATCGACTTATTCGTGCATTAGTGTCCATCTGGTTTACAGCATTTACGAATGACAGAAAATCTTCAGTATATGAATCATGCATCTGATGTCCTATATCTGCTAAGAGGGATTCCTGACAACAATTACATTCAAGGTTTTTACGATCGTCAAATTTTGGAAGTTTCCATTGAGTGAAATCATTTTTATTGAATCACTCTTGTACCATAATCTGACGCAAACACAAGTCGAACCAAATTCATTAACTACACTACCTCTTTTAAAAATATTACGTGCAATTTTGAATTATAGAATATTAAAATGAACTTCGTCAACTCCGAGAGGCCGAGCCCTTGTTCTTGGTTCTACATTAATGCACTAAACAAGTCAATAAGGAAATAGAGACAGGTTTTGTTTCCTTCCTTCAGTTTCAGTCCTACCCTTCCTTCTTTTGGGGAATTTCATTTCTCCCCTCACTCGCCCGTTTTCGCTCAGGCACCTGCTTTATCCTTTCTGCCACTGACGTCGACATATTATACGATTATATTTCCACGTCATTCTGCTCTGCACACTTCCCTTATAGAAAATATTGATAATTTGCTTTATCCTACTATCAAAAGTTTAACTTCAAAAATGACACACATTTTGCAGCTAATCAATTTTTCGGTATCAAGGACTCACAAAACGTAGATTCCGACTACTCAACGTGTAAGAGAAAGAGAAAGAACTAATTTACTACAGATAGAAACAAGGTTTATTCTCTTTCTAATTACCAAGGACCAAAAACGTTCGGTATTCGCCCTACCGACAGCGTGTCGGTCTTTACGACACATCAAAGGGAGCGAACATTCGCCGAATACATCAGCTGTTCGGGATTGGTCGAGCGGTAGCTCGCTGCTTGGCGAATGCCGAATGTGTGGAGCCGCCTTTACATTGCACCCGCTCACTGCGCACTGAAACTGATGTTAGTATCAAAACAAATGTGCGATGTGCAGAACATTTGTCTTATTGGAATGATTTGGCACTTGTCGGTTTTTTTTCTATTTCTGAAAGTTACATGCGCTTTGGAAGGGAGGGGGCGATTTTGTTTAATTAAGATCATAAAATTTCGAGAGATTCAAGGAAGTTCACAACCAGTATTCTTAGAGTTCCTTACACAATTTGTATGATCGATGGAACGTTTTCGGTAAAGAAGAAATAGAAAATCAAATGAGAACTAAATGAATACATATTAATTTACTACTTAACGACTGGAAATAATTCATTTCTATTCTAGACTGAGTTCTCGTGAAACAAGCAAATTCATTTTCAGTGCAAGTAAATTCAATTTCCGAATTATCTACTTCAATCTTGTATTCAACATGAGATAAAAATTCTCTGGTGAGGATGTACATTTCATTATTATATTGTATGAGTAATTCTTTAACATATCAGGTCTTTAAATGCTGTGTCTGCCCCTGTTCTTGCTAAGGCGAGATGATTGTTGTTTCTATATTGTAGATATTATAATTTTTAGGTCACCAGCTATTGTATAGATATTTTTTCTTCAGAAAATGTTATAAACTGAGTCCACAATAAGGATTGCAATGACATTATAGAGATGTCACAGAATAATAATTGTAAACTTCTAGGGATTGCAGACAAGTCTAGGTGATCACTTTTTGCCCATGAATATTTGGTAAGATGTTTATTTTAAAGAAATTACACATGTGGCTTTTGCCCATGGTTGTTAGTAAACGAGTCGTGCATTGGTGTTCGGGAGGTACGAGTCGGAACGTGATATGCTAAACACTAATGCATAATGTGTTGCCTATCAATAAGGGGCAAACGTCACATACACAATGTTTTCCTGTCCCTAGTTTTTTGGTAAAAAGTGATCATCTTTGACTCCATCACATTCAAGGGAAGTATGTAACATTCATTGTGAGAAACTGTTTAGAAATAGTTATTTTTACCTACTAAGAATAGTCATAAATAAATGAGATTTTAATATTTTTGACAATCAACAATGCTGCACTTATTTGTTCACTTAGCAACCCTTAAAACCCTGCGCACGCATCCTGTTCCATTCGGTGTGCCACTATTAAGGCTCGTTCGATATGAAAATTAAACATGAACGAAACGTAAACCCAAAAGTTTTGGCGCCAATTCAATGGAACCATTCACAACGGTGAACGTAATCTGCGTTTGTGTTAATGTGGTCTGAGAAGAAACCACTATCGTGTACCACGCTTACATCCAAAGAACTAGTGTTTTGGTCAGACAGACTGCTGTTTGCAAGAGCATAAATTTTATTTGACTCCACTGCTAATACAACGCTTTACAGAATTATTCATAGCGCTTATGACATTACAAATCATGACAAAATACATTCATCATAATAATCATGTAACAATGGTCACGTTAATTTCACTTTATTTCGTTTGATTGTATACAGAATTTCCGTGCCGAGTATTTATTACAACGTCATTGATAAGGGACTCTGCTCACGTTTACTTTCACAACAACTGCGAACTACATTGAATTGAACTGATGCCTTATTTTACGTGGCGAGGCTCGGACCATCAGGCTCACTCTTCCGTCTGACCACGCAAATTTTGCTAAGCTCCTTTCACCAACTAGCAGAGAAAGAATTATTTCTTGGACGAGAAATAGGCGATTTAAATTTAGCTCAGAGACGTCATTTAGGCTTGAGGATCTTTTACATGCAAGTAAATCTACTAACATGGGACAGCCGGCTTTACTTCCCCTCCGAAGGAGGGCGCACGAAGAATTTTTTCGCCCTTAAAAATCCACGCCCTTAAAAACCCGCCAACTAGGGTATAACAGTCCGATATGCTGACCGTTACATCATCGCCGCCGACAACTATACACCCGTGCTTACATATAAAGTGTATGTTTATGCCCTCGCATCTATGTTAACGTTTTCATTTCATTCCAGGTGGCGAGCCGCATCCTTGGTTCGCGTCGCGTCGCCTCGCTGACGCGTGGCGCCCCTGGCGCCGCCAGCGCCGCCGCTGCCGCCACCTGTCTTCCGGCGCACCGGTCGATGCAGGAGCGGCCACGCGCTAGCGCCACCGCGCCAATGACTCACGAACCCCCTCAATTGCCCGAAACATTCCCAAACGCCACCGGCAGCAAAGATGCATATATAATAATAATAATATGCCTTTATTAATATGGCGAGGCTCGGGCCATCAGGCCCGCTCTTCCGCTTAACCACATGTCATAAATATACACAGTAATGTAGTAAAAGTAATGTAGTAATAATAAAAGTACTAAAAAGTAATGTTATCTGAAAATTTAAATGTAATGTAATCTACAAGTGGTAAGTAGTTAGTGGAAAGCAAACGTTATTTAAAGCAACTTATAAATAGACAACATCAGAGGTTAATGCTTGATTTAATGCATGATTATTTCGTGTTTCCGGGCACGACAACTGCTACGGTCATTGGTCCCGTTAGTATAGTGCATGTTATATCCGGAGGGGGTGGTGTTCCTCCCTAGAACGTGAATTCGGGTGCCGACCTTCACGTTGGAATTTGGGGTTCTCTCCTCAAGGTATTTTCGCCAGTGGAACACCGCCCCAACTACTTTATGCTCTGAGCTCCC